AGTAATAATTAGAGCATAGAATGTATGAAGTTTGAATCTAGGAAAATTGGAAGTCATCAAAAATTATACCCAATGCATATTCTAGATCGATATCCTGGACATTTGTTGCTGTTGTTGTTAAGTGCCATCAAGTTTGTTCTGACTCACAGCAACCCTGTGTATGGTTCTTGAGGAGCGACTGTTAAGTCTGAACCACCAACCTTGCAGTATATTGCATTATCCTGCAGTGCCACAATAGACGTTGGTGTTGTTGGTAAGTGCCGAGTTGGTTCCAACCCATAGCAACCCTGTATAGGGTTTTCAAGGAGTGGCTTGTGAACTTGAACCACCAATTTGCAGTTTAAACTAACTTTTCAATCCAGTGTGTTAACCCACAGTGTCACACCAGGACTGCCCAGTAGACATTAGTGGGCTGAAATTGACCTTATTTGGCCATTTTGAACCAGACAAATATGTTTTATTTTGTTGTGAACTACAAATTGAAGAGGAATGGCACTCATCATCAAAAAGAGTAAATTCAAGATCTTTGTAGAAGTACACTGTTGTCTGTGATAGGATAATAAATCCATATGCCTACAAGCAAATCCAGTTAATATGGTTATTCAAATTTACACACCAACTACTACTATGAGTCGGTACTGACTTGATGGAATCTAACAACAAAAACAACAATTAAAGCCAATAATTAAGTAACTAAAGAATTTAATCCACATCTTCAGTCTGAAATTGGTTAAATATGTAATCAAGGTACATTTTTAACTTCTAGTATTAGAATGCAAAAGTTGGAAACAAATAGGAAGGGTCAGTAGTTGGAAAATATAGCCTTGATGATAGAAACGATGCTGGAGATTGCCTGATAGAATTTTGCAATCTCCAGGTAATCACAGAAGCATCAGTCAGGAAATCAAATAATGTATTGCATTAGGCTAATCTGCTGCACAAGACCTTTTTAAAGTGTTGAAGAGCAAAGATGTGAGCTTGAGGACTAAGGTGAGCCTGACCCAAGCCATGGTATTTTCAGTAACCTCATATGCATGCGAAAGCTGAGCAGTGAATAAGGAAAACAGTAGAAGAATTGATGCATTTGAGTTATGGTGCTTGAGGAGAATACTGAAAGTGCCATGGGCTGCCAAAAGAACCAATAGATTCTGTTTTGGAAGAAATGCAGCCAGAGTGCTCCTTAGAGGCCAAGATGGCCAAACTTCGTCTCTCATACTTCGGACATATTGTAAGGAGGAACCAGTTGGTGGAGAAGGATATCATGTTTGGTAAGGTGGAGGCTCGGAGGAAAAGAGGAAGACCCCCAACAAGATGAATTGGCCAAGTGGCAACATCAATGGACTCAAGCTTGGCAACAGTAATGAGGTTGGCCCAGGATCAGGCAGTGTTTCATTCTGCTGTGCATAAGGTTGCTATGAGTCGGTACCGACTTGATGACCCCTAACAACAACAACAAAAGGTATTCATTGTAAATACCCTTTTAAAATAGCATAAAAGACAACTACATAAAGACCTCACCAGATGGAATACACAGAAATCAAATTTACTGTGTACATAAGACAATGACTAAGTACAGTATCATTAGCCAAAACAAGGGTAGGAGCCAAATATGGAACAAACCATCAATTGCTTATGTGCATGTTCACCTTGAAGCTGAAGAAAATTAAACCCAAAAGAGCAAAAATAAATTTCCCCCCTAAATTTAAAGGAAAATAATTTCCCCCCTAAATTTAAAGATCATTTCAAGAAAAGATTTTTAAGATCATCATATATGAAGAAAGTAAAAGGTCATTAAAAAGACAAGAAAGAAAGTGAAAAACAGTGGATGTCAGAAGACATTCCAAAGCTTGTTCTAAAAAGTGACTAAATTGAATGCAGGTAAAGTGCACTGTAGGTCAGTGCACTAGACTGCAAAGTTTGAACCGCAACATCAGTGATTCAACCTTACCAGCTGCCCCTTGGGAACCCTATATAGGGTCCCTGTGAGTCGGAACCAACTCTGCGGCACTTAACAACAACAAAGTGACTGGAAGAATTGATGAAGTGAAAGAGCTGAACTGAAACTTTTAAAGGTCAACTCAAGAAGAGAAGTAAAGTATTATAGTGAAATGTGAAAAGACCTGGAGTTAGGAAACAAAAAAATGATTAACACTCAGCATTTTTTAAGCTGAAAAAAACTGAAGAAAAAGTTCAGTCCTAAGTTGCCATATTGAAGGAGTCAAAGTGGACTTTTGGTGTGGTGCTGTGCACAGGACTACAATCCATAAAGTTAATAGTTCAAAATCACCAGCTGCTCCTCGGAAACCCTATACAGGGTCTCTATATAAGTCAGAACCAACTTGATGACACTTAGCAACAACAACAATGGAGTTCTAGTATAGACAGCACTGCAGAATAAGCACTGAACTGCTAACCACAAGATCATCAGTTCAAACCCACCAGCTGCTTCTTGGAAATTCTATGTTGGAACCAACTTAGCACACTTAACACCAACAGGGGCAAAACACTGGATGACACAGGAAGTTTCAAAAGAAGATGAGAAGAAATAGAGAGTCACTGTAACAAAAAGAATTGGTCAGTATTCAACCACTTTGAGAACTGATGATATTGAAGGAGGAAATTCAAACTACACTGAAGGCTTTGGTGGAAAAGTAGGCTCTAGGAATTAATGGAATACCAGTTGAAATGTTTCAGTGAATTAATGCAGTATTGAAAGTACTCATTAATCTATTCCAAGAAATTTGGAAGGCAGCTAGAAAAGGATGTAGAACAAGAAATATCATTGCTGATGTCAAATGGATCTTTGCAGAAAGCAGAGAATACCAGAAAGATGTTTACTTGTGCTTTATTGACTTTGCAAAGGCATTCAGCTGTATGGATCATAACAAACTATGGATAACATTGTGAAGAACAGAAATTGTAGAACACTTAGTTGTGTTCATGAGGAAACTCTACATAGACCAAGAAGCAGTCATTTGAACAGAACAAGGGGATACTGGATGGTTTAAAATTAGAAAAGGGTGCTCCACAGTTGTATCCTTTCACCTTACTTATTCAGTTTGTATGTTGGGTAAATAATCCAAGAAACTGGACTATATGCAGAAGAATGCAGTATCAGGATTACTCATTAATAACTTGTTAATATGGAGATAACAGAACCTTGCTTGTTAGAAGGGAATAGGACTTGAAATACTAATGCAGATCAAAGATTACAGTTTTCAGTATGGCTTGTACTTCAATGTAGAGAAAATGGAAATCCTCACAATTGGACTAATAAGTTATGATAAATGAAAAAAAACCCAAAAAAACGGAAATGGTAAAATATTACATTTTACTTGGATCCACAATCAGTGCTCATGGAATCCATAGTTAAGAAAGCAAAGGACATATTCTGTTGGGCAGATCTGTTACAAAAAGTGTTCAAGAGCAAAGATAACAGTTTGAGGACAAAGGTGCACCTGAACCATGCCATGGTATTTTGGCTGTGTCATATGAATGTGAAAACTGGACAATGAATAAGGAAGACTGGAGGAGAATTGATGCATTTGAATTGTATTGTTTTGGAAGAAGTACAGCCAGAATGTTCCTTAGAAGGAAGGATGGTGAGACTTCTGTTTCACTTTGGACATATTGTCAGGAAGGACCAATCCCTGGTGGAGAACATTATGGTTGATAAAGTATTTTGTTGCTATTAGTGTCATAGAGTCAGCTTTGACTCATAGCAACCTTGCATAGGATTTCCAAGGAGCAGGTGGTGGATTTGAATCACCTACCTTGCAGTTAGCAGTCCAGTGTTTCAGCAAAAAAGTGGAAGATCCTCAACAAAACGGATTGACATAGTGCCAGCAGCAGTGGGCTCAAACATAATAATTGCAAGGATGACACAAGACCAGGTAGTGTGTAATTCTTTGTACATAGGGTTGCTATGCGCCGGGACAGACGGATGGCACTTAACAACAGCAATAACAATTGCAACAATGGTATTGTTTTCCTGATTTCCTTTTTGGAGTTCTCTTTATGTACAGGAATCTGACTGATTTTTGTATGTTGATCTTGTGCCCTATCACTTTGCTGAATGAACTCTTCTATTACTTTTGTAGCTTTTTTGTAGAATCTGGGATTCTCTCTGTAGGTCATAGTATCTGCAAATCAGGGTAGTTTTACTTCTTTCTTACCAATATCTATGCCTTTTGTTTCCTTTTCTTACCTAGTGCTCTGTTTATGATTTCCAGTACAGTATTGAATAGTATTCGTGATAAAAAGCATCCTTGTGTGGTTCCTGTTCTCAAGAGGAATGCTTTCAGTCTCTCTTCATTGAGAAAGATGCTGTTTATTGGTTATATATATTTCCTCTTTTCCTTTTTTGCTGAGAGGGATTTTATCAAATGCCTATTCTGTGTTATTTGGTATGGTCATGTGGTTCTTTTCCTTTATTTTATGTGGTGGATTACGTTGAATGATTTTCTTAGGGAATTTTATATTTATAAAATGAACCCTTTAGTGTTTTGGGAGTCTCCCATTAATCAAGTAATCATCTGAACAATTTTGATAGCTGTTGACATTTTGGTGCAACAGAATGCCAGTGTGAAGATGGCATGTCTAGAGCAAAATGATTATTCTCTGCTTTTATAGGGGAAACTCAGCCACAGAATAACTTATTTGGAAGATTTGATTTAGTTTTCTTAGTTAGGAAATGTCACTGAAAACTGTTCATCATAATAGCAACACATAGGCCTCTACTTATGTGCATGGGGTACATTCAATGTGAACCGAACCTGACTTTCCCATGTGAAAGAGGAGAAATCTACTAGTGACCAAACAGTGGCTCACTGGAGAATGATAGCAGCGTGTATTGTTTTGTAGACCATACATTTAAAAACTATCTTTGGAGGGAGAGGTAGAAGGCAAAGCTAATTTAAGACTTAATAAAAATTTGAATGGAGGCAAGAAGAAAGTAAAGCTAATACTGAAACTAATCTGTGGCTATGCATTTCTTTAAGGTATAACTAATTGGGTTCAAGGTTGGAAGAAAAATGGATGGAGAACAAGCACAGGGAAAGATGTAATCAACAAAGAGGATTTTGTTGAGCTTGACAAACTTACCCAGGGCATGGATATTCAGTGGGTGAGTATTTTTAAAACGGTTTTCTGTTAACTAGATCAACTAATAGCTTATATAAATGATTTAATTAATTAAAAAGTTAAAAGAATACTTTCCATGAAATTAATACCTGCAGAAAAAGGCATGGAGACAGCATCTGATGTCCTCTAACTTCACAAGGGGAGAAACACCATTGGCGTCAGCCCTTGGCCAATTCCTATGACATTTAGGGGTCAGGCATGCCTCCATCCTTCAAGTTTCCCTACCAGTTCTAACACAAGCCAACCCCCCTACGGCATTCTCTACTTCTTAGCTGGGTTTGATCATTCATTGCAATTTGCCACACGGAACTCTTAGACTATACTCATGGCTATAGGTTTTATTAGGGACGCTAATAGGTTACAATTCAGGATCAGAAATGGTCAAGACCCAGTTCTTCAGTCAGGACAGCCTCATCCCAGCCATGTCCGTAGGCATGCCTGTCAATGTCACCTGGCCTCTTAGCCACATGGGCCCCCTTGGCCTCTGCCCTACTTGGGCAATGCTATAAAGATCCTTTAGGGTTGCTTGGTAAGTGTCCTAAAGATAGTTCAGTCTGCTGTAAGCCTCATCCTGACGGTGCTCAGCTCTATCTTCATGGGTCAGTAAGCCTAGCCTGGAGACACTCTTGTTTCTGGGAAGCTGACCTCTCTCTTATGCTCTGGCTCTTGGTTCTGCAGTTGCCATTTTCCTACTACTTCTCTGCTAGTCCTTTACTATCACAGCCTTTTGTCCCTGAATAGAGGATGTTCAAGGCATGGAGATACTGGGGCTCAAAAACCTGCTCCCCTTCTGATTTTTATGTCTTGTTGGTTGTGAGATCCCAGTACCTGCTTCAGAGATGGCTCATTATAAACACAACAGGATGGTAAAAATTGACCAAGCCCCTCTTTAAATTTTCAAGTTTTTACAATCCTAATTAAGCCTGTTACCAGTCACTCACAACTGAATCATATAATTCATCAACATTGTCCCTCACCTTCTCTTACCCAGAATTATCAGGAAAAAGGTGTTTAGTAGGAATTAACGACAATTGTGACTAGAAGAGCCATCTGATGTTATCACTGCCCTGCAATATCATAATATGTATTAAAACACATTTGATTCTTTTGATCATTATATATGTGTTGACAAACGGGTATTTCTTTGTATAGAAAATACTGGCAGGATGATTGAAGGCTATTCTATATTCTGTACATTTTGATACCAAAGCATAGTAATGCCTAGAACAGGCAGTCCTCATTGCTATTTAGATATAGTAGTCAAACCTATTGGTTTTGTTAGAATTGTTGTTGTTGTGAAGTGCCAATAAGTTGGTTCCGACCCATAGCGACCCTGTGTAGGGTTTCTCAGGAGTAGCTGGTGAGTTTGAACCGCCAACCTTGCAGTTCAAACAGCTTTTCAGTCTGGTGCATTAACCCACAGCACCACATCAGGACTCCAAAAATAAAACTAATTTATGTAATATGTTTTGTTTTAAAGTTGTGTGAAGTTTTAGTAACTTGACCTTTTTCCCAAAGTGGAAGTATTTTTCTCATAATTTATGTTTTTTTTTTTTAAAAAGGACGAAAACAAACACAACAACCTCCCCTCCCCAACAGTACAGAGTAAGTTAAATGGCAAACATTGTCTCAACCCTACCTTTCTTGACCTTCCCAGAACCACTGATAATAGTTTGGTAACGTGACATTTTAATTTGTCTTTCAGCAAATTAAATGTAAGCAGTCATTAAATCAAATAAGTAATACATCCATGCTTTCTTACAAGTTAAAAAAAAAAAAGAGTGTTGGGTATTATATATAGACATTCACACAAGCATTCATGCATACATGTACTGCATGGAGAGCTTGTTAAGTAGAGGAAAGATAATATAAGCAGTAAGATCCAATATGTATAGAAGAGTAAATTTTTATAAATGTATTGAAAAAATGCATTAAAAATTTTGTTAAGAATATATGTTGTACAGTTTATAATTACATTGAGAAAGTGAGCTCTCTTCTATTTGGTATACTCCAATATAGTTGAAATTTTTTATATTGAAAATACAATCATATGAAGCTGTGTAAAAATTAATAAAAGGGAAATTTTTATTTTAACAGATGCATGTTCCGGGTCATTCAGGATTTGTGGGCAATGAACAAGCTGATCGATTAGCAAGAGAAGGAGCTAAGCAATCTGAAGACTGAAAGAAGTAATTGGAATACTTGGGAACATAAGTCAGTGGCTATGTTGTTACTTTTACTTATCATGGAAAATGAAGGACTATAGTATGGACTGTTGCAATGGATGGAACATGTAGTTACAAACTATATCAGAAAGGCAATGTGACTGTGAAATAGTTTAATAAAAGGTGGCTACACATGTAATAAATTGGTTATCCTTTGAGATTTCAGCGTCAAACTCATGCTTATTGGATTTGATACTGTTCTCATTTGTTTTTTATAGTGTGATCCAGACTCTCAGGACTTTGATTTTAATTAAGAATGAATAATCCTTGGTTTAAAGATGCAGCCATGCAGACAAGAAATATAGGCATTGAACCCCATGATTTGAAAGTTGATTTCTACCTTTGTTCAGATTAAATGAAAGCATCCCTTCCTTTGGCAGCTGTAGCCCCATGCTAGGACACAAAGTTTAGCAGACAGAATGTAAGCTGGTCTCATCCCCATTTGCCCTCTTGGCTGGTATTTTTGTATAGAGCATAACCTGCACATAGCTCTGGCTATTAGGCCTTAATAAAGGAATGTTATAACTTTTAAAGACCAAGGTGGCATAAATAAATCCTTTAAAAATTTCTTTGGGTGTTTTTGTTAAAAACACACTGCATGTTGAAAAAGTTTATCATAATCATTTTATTTTAAAACCAACTTTTTATAAAATAAAAGCACATACAGAAAACCACACAAAGCAAATGTATAAGTTGTTGAATTATTTTTATTGTAAAGTGAGTACCCTTAACACTGCCACCCCGGTCACCTGGACCAAATCAATCCCAAAGTCACTGCTGTCAAATTAATTCCAACTCATAGTGATGCTATAGGACAGACTAGAACTTCCCCATAGGGTTTTCAAGGCTGTAAATATTTAGGGAAGCAGACTGCCACATCTTTCCCCTGAAGAGTGGCTGGTGATTCAGTCGAGTACCTTAACCACTGTGCCACCAAGACTCCTTAGTTATTCTGACAGCCACCCCAAATGAGTTTGCAAGCACTTCCATCTCCTTACAGCCCCCATTGCTCATCGAAAAGTATATATTATACACATTTCTATAGAAATGATTTCGTTGCATTTCTCCTGTCAGTTAAGTCTTGAACACTTTTATTTTTAAAGTTGAATATGTCTTGCATCATTAGTCTCTTTAAATCAGCTACTTTCCCTTCAATCCCATTTACCTATAGTTCTTCACATGATACAGTTAAACATTTTCTTTTGCCCTCTATATTTCATACATTTTGTTAGTTGAATTCAGATGCTTCATCAGATTCAGACTCCATACCTTTGGGAAGACTGTCAGTGGTGATATGTGGTATGTACTTTTATCGAGAGACATATATGTGATTTTCATCCCCACCCCACCCTTTTTTTTTTTCATATTGACTGCTGCTGATAGCTCATTGCTTAAATTCATGAATTGGTCACGTTTTACAAATCACTGATATTCTAATTCTATGATTTTATTTGCATTTATTAACCAGAATAATTTTATAAGTAGATGCTTCCCTTCATCTAATATTTTGTTACCCATTTATACAGTTGATAAAGGAAAGGAAAGATAGAGTTGATAAAGGAAAGAATAAATTCTTGGTTCTTCACTTTTATATACTGACTTTTCAACATAATTAGTTAGTTCCCTTTCATCCTTAGGAACTGACCACTAAAGGATTTTTATTATATGTGAGGGAACTTCAACAAGTTCATAAAATTATATTATCATTTAATTCCATTTTCCACTTAAATTTTGGAAGCCCACACAGATCATAAAAAGCATAATTGAAGGGTTTCAAACTGTTGCAGTTTTTATCTTTAGTGAACTCAAAATTGTACTTTCTTTGACTAGTGTGAGGGTGACTCTTCAAGTTAACTCTTAAGTTCTTTGATATTCCATGTACATGCACATTGACAGGGTACATGCTGTCTGGTACCTCAAAGTATTATAGGTCCATCCTGTACAATTCATGTTTCAGACTTGGAATCAGTTATTACTCCAAGAAGCCATAGTTCCTTTTAATGTAATCTACAATCTGGGATACTTACTGCTGTTAGTTGAACATCATTCATGTTGATCATCACAACTCAAATTCAAGAGTCCAAGTACTTTTTCTGCATCTTTAATAGATTCCATCTGTCAGTTTCTTACTGTGGTGGCTTGTGTGTTGCTGTGATGCTGGAAGCTATGACACTGGTATAGCAAATATTTCAAGGGTCACTCATGGTAGACAAAGGTTTCAGTGGAACTTCTAGACTAAGACAAAGAAGAAGGAGAGGTGGACCACTTCTGAAAGGTTAGCCACTGAAAACCTAATGAATAGCAACAAGATTTTGATAAAGTGCCAGAAGATGAGTCCCTCAAGCTGGAAGGCACTCAAAATACAACTGGGCAAGAGCTGCCTCCTGAAAGTATAGTCAACCACAATGATATGAATGAAGCAAAGCTTTGGGGACCTTTATTTACAGATGGGACGTAATTCAAAATGAGAAAAAACAGATACAAACATTGACTAATAGTTGGAATGTAGAATGTATGAATTAAGAACCTAGGAAAATGAGAAGTCATAAATGAAACACGTAAAGATTGGTATCTTAGAACTTTATGAGCTGAAATGGATGGATACTGGCCATTTTGAATATGATCATCTTGGTTCCTATGCTGAGAATAATAAATTGAAGAGGAGTCAGTATGAATTAATTGCTGTCATATTAATTTTTTATGGTGTAGTTTGTTCCTTTGTTCTGCATACCTTCTTGTGCTGAGTTTGTTTTTTGTGCTATTTCTTAGCAGTTTCTTTGACATTGTTATTATTTTGATCTTCAGTTGAACTCCCAGCTCCTTTGAATTCGTTGTAATTTTGTTCTGTTCTTGACCCTGCTATCTGTCGTCTGAGTTCTGGGTGGTGCTGCCACATCTGTCAATCTCTGGTTGTTGTCTGTTCTTGTTGGTTTTCAGTCCAAAGAACTCTCTTTAGGATGCTTTGAAGCTCTCGATTGGCTTTGACAAAAATCTCTTAGCTTCTATTTATCCTGGAATTTTTCTTTGTTTTTTTAATTTAAGGTTTTTATTGTGGATTGAGTGAAAGTTTACAGGGCACATCATCAGTTTCACATTCAACCATTCATATAACTTGTTTCATTACATTGATTATAATCCCCTCCATATACCACCAATTAAAAGTATTTCTCTTTATCCACTTTAGCTTTATAAAAAACACAC